AACGGATCACAACTCAATACATAACACATGTGTTGTTTATGGATCAACCTCTCAGATCACTCAGGTCTTCTAGTTCCAGTTTACTCTGTTCACCCAGAACTAGAACCAAACATGGAGAAGCAGCATTTAGTTCCTATGCTCCACTGATCTGGAACAAACTCTCAGAAAACATGGAAAAGAGCTGAAAGTCTGAGTTCTTTGAATTCAAAGTTAAAAACCAAGTTGCCTGAAGATATTATTTGTTTAAGGTTGTGATCCAACTGCTTTATTTGTTTTACTATGTGCTTTTATCATATTTTGTCTTTATTTGCTTTTATTCTGCTTTTATTTGTCTTCTATTTAATTCATGTAAAGCACCTTGAATTGTCCCTGTACCGAATTGTGCTATACAAGTAAACTTACCTTGCTTTACCTAAAAGGCTCCTAAATAAATTTCAGAGGTAACTTTAGCTTTTTTAAATATACAAAACAACTTCTTAAAAGAGTTAATCATCAGAATGTATTATAACAATTGATAGGAGTAATTAATTGCAGTATTTTATGGTTGATATACTAACATTTTTTAAGAAAGTTATCTTGTTAGTTTTTCAGACCGTTCCTTAATTTATTCTGATGAGAATCACAAACAGAAAACATCCACCTTATGGAATTCCTGTTCCAGATCCTATACAAAACACCAGCATATAGCAAAACCTAAGTATATCCCCTGATGCTTTTCTATCCTAAATGGACCTTAATATTCGTATTATGGGCTGGATTTAGGAATTAGGATGGTGATGATAAAAATTTGCCTAATGAATCTATAAACAAACTCTCATGATGGGTTTGAGATTTCTAACCCACATGCAGAGAACACCCAGGAGACAGAGAAAAAGTTCAAAGGTTTATTAACAGAGTTTTCAAATGTGCACTGGAACTGGGTTGGTCCGACTGGTCTCGGGAGGATCACCACTAAGGAGAACAGAGAGGTTAGAGGATTTCCAGGGATCCAGTAGTTTGTCAGGTGATTGAGGTAATACCTGCTCAGGGGGGAACAGATCAGCAGGAGGGGGGTACCCTGAGGGTCCAGAGCTTTGTCGGCAGGCAGAGGGCTGAGGGCTAAGGCAGAGACTGACCGAATGCAGGCAGGCAGATTCCAGAACTGAGTTACTTCCAGGTTTCAGGTTTTCAGACAGGTCAGGTTCTGTAGGCAGAGAGAAAGAACTGGATCAGGCAGGTTCACGCAAAAACACAGAGAAAAGATCAGGCAGGTTAGCTCAGGTCTAGCTGTACCATTACTGGCTAACACTCTAGCACTGGAGTGTCCGCCTCCTTAAGTAGGAGTCTCCTGATGAGCAGATTGAAGACAGGTGTAGCAGTCAGCTCATGCCCCAGGAGATCTCGTGCGCCCTCTGGTGGAGAAAGTGGACAAACCTCCAGATCCCAACCCAAACTTGTTGCACTATATTTGATAACAAACACCCTCAGGACACAAATACAAAAGAGAGGAAAGTAATAATTAAACAAAACAATACCACAGAAGAAGAAATAAAGAGGAGAGGCTCTCAGTCTTAGAGTCACACATTTATAACAATGAGAACGGTTTCTAAAATGTTTAGTCAGAATAACTAAAATACAGCCACAAACATAAGTTTTTAACTGAGATTAATCTCCATCTGTTTTCCCTGTCCCTGCTCAAGTAAAAAACTCCCCACATCATTATGCTGCCACCTCCATGTTTCCCCATAGGGATGCTGTGTTTCGTATCGGTTGGGACAGTTAATGTCGTTTCAGAAAATTCAAATTTATTGGTTGTCATGTTTCCATCCAGTTTAAGTGAAGAAGAGCTTGGAAAGCATTAGGAATGCAGGAAAAGTCTTCTTGATGAAGGTTTAAATGTTCTAATCCAATAAAATGTACTTCCTCTGAATTCTGTCGAAGAACAATGAGCGGGATCCAAATGCTCCTGAAAAAACAACCACTCCCAGTAATCCAGGAACAGTTTGCTGTTGCTCTGCAGTTACTTTTAGGAAGATGATGTACCGTCACAAGGCAAAAGTGAGAACAACAGGACCTAAAGTTCAGTCTTGTGGTTAAGTTGGTCTTGTGGTCAGGAAACTTCTCTGATTCTAAATCTATCAGGAAGCTGTGGTCAGTTCTAAAGAAGACAGAAAAACTGAAACTAACAACTTCAGGGACTAAAAGGAAGAGAACGGGTCGCCTTTGTTGTGCCATAACTGTGTACTAATCTGATGAATGCATCAACGCAGCATCGCATGGAGGTGATCAGCCTTGGCTCTGCTGAGGTGAAACAGGAGCCACGATAATCGGGTCAGAGGTCACAGCGACATCCAGGCCTCTGAACCACCGTTTTGTCGGTTGGAGTTGTGTGCAGGTGGCATGTCCTGCTGGGAAATGAAGTCAGCATCTCCAAAAAAAGCCTGTCAGCAGAAGGAATTTCTCAGTGCTTTACTGTAAAACCTATTAGGCCTTTGCAGTTTTCATTATTTCATTATTTTTAATTTTGTCCACAATATTCTGATTCTTTTAGATAGAACATGTTTATTTGTTTTATCATTGGAGAGCAATAATAAAAATAAAAATGAAGGCCTGAAGCGCTCCATGTTATGTTTATTGAGTCTATATAACACAGATTTAACTTTCTGAAATAAGTCACAATATATACTGTATTATTTTTGCTGACATTCTTTTTTTTGTTCCTAAATATGATCAAATGACCTGAAGTCTTGAACTAAATCCAGTAAACAAGATTTTTAAATTGGTGTTCACAGCTTGTACGCATCAACTCTGACTAATTTGTTTTATTGGAAACATAGAGATAAAAAACAGGCTTTAGATGTGAAAAGCTGGTTGACATAAAACCTACCGACCAGCAGCTGTGGAAGGAGTAATGTAATCACGTTTAACGCGGTTCTATGGCTCTATCATCCAAGAACAACATAATATGTAGAATTTTACATGTTTTACATCATGTGACAAAATGTGAGCAAATTTAAAGGGTATAAAAATGTTTGCCATGCTCCTACCTTAATGTGGAATGTTATTCCTCACCACATGTTCTCTAAGATACGTGGTCTTAATTTTGTTTTGCTGTGTGATTATAACATTCGGAGCTCGTCTGTAAGGCTGTGTGTTTCCTGGAAGGGGCCGCCTTTTACAGCTGCTTTTTGTATCTCTGCTTCTGTCTCCTTGAACCCCAGTCGGCCTCAGCAGATGGCCGCTCACACTGAGCCTGGTTCTGCTGGAGGTTTGTACCTGTTAAAAGGGTTTTTTCCCTCTCCACTGTCGCTACAAGCATGCTTAGTGTGAGGGATTGCATTTAAGTCAATGAGTCGATGCAATCAACTGGTTTTCCTTAGATAGAAAACTTTGAATCAATTTGACTGTATGATCTGGTTGAACTGTAAAGTGCCTTGAGATGACATGTTGTGAATTGGCGCTGTATAAATAAACTGAACTGAATTGAACATTGATCATATTCCTGTCGATCTCTTTAATTTTCATAAATAAGCCCTTTTGGCCTGGTCACTGATTTTCAAACATATTTTTTCTCCTAATAGTTACTTTCTTTGCAATAGCAAAGATATATGCTACAAGAAAAAATCTCTGTTTTTTGAAAACTGGTTTAGGAATGATATCACACTGGTAAGTCAACTGTACAATGAAAAAGGAAACCTCTTTAATTATCAAGAGTTTTTGTGCCATTTTAAGATTCCTATAAGCCCAAAACAGTTTGCTGTTTTTCATGCTATTCCACCAGGTGTTATAATGTTATTTAAAGGTCAGACATCTCTGTTCTCTGAAGGCCCGAGACCTCTACCTGATCCAACTGATACTTATGTAGGTAGACCATTTTTTCAACACAAATCTCCAAAAAAACAAAAAAAAAACATAGATAACTGCATCTCGGTTCCTCATGTAAGTCTGGTCTCAGAAGTATGTTGGAACAAAGTGTTGTCTCTACCTAATAAATATTTTCTAGTAAACAAGGTTTAAGTAGTTTCTTTTAAGATTACTCACCGCTGTTACCCAGTAAAGTCATTTTTGATTAAATATAAAAAGTACATTGATACCACTTTCACTTTCTGTAACATTTACTCTGAATCTGTCTCTATTTTTTATTTTATTTTATTTTTATTTTTTTAACAGTGTCCTGTCTGGCGATGTGGCAATAAGAATAATTGTCTTGATGCCAAAAAGAGCCCAACAGATTTTACTTTCACAAGTGGAGCAGTACGGCTATCGCCATAGTGTTCCGCTTGCTATATGCATATAAATAACTTTACCATGATTATGCAGGGAGTATTACAGATTATATGAACACTGCAATGTAAGCAGGACAGGAAAGAAAAAACAGGGGAAAAAGGAGATAACGATAAAAAACCTTTCTGTCTCACACCTTGTTTGGTCCTGTGAGTACACCAGGCGTCTATGGCAAGGTATTTGCCGCTTCATTCTGGACAATATTTATGACAGATTTGAATCTTATTTTTCTAGGATGGTTACTTGGAATAACTTATTTATTTCGAATTTATTGGAATTTATTTCAGAATATAGAAAATAACTTTGTGACCATTTATTTTATTTTTTTTATTTTTATTTTGCTTCTTTTGGCCATGTTTTAGTCCTACAAATGTAAAATTATTATGAATAAACCCTCATATATCTCTTTTTTAAAGGGAGCAAAAATTTATTTTTCTACATTGTCCTTTTCATAATATTTATGTAATCCCTTTATATGCTTCTATGTGTAGCTTTACTTAATCACTTTTACTATTTTTACGTTTATTCAGTTATTTTTATTTAGTATTACTATTTTTGTTTAAACCCCTGCCGATTCTTCATTAGAAATTGTACTTATTTCTTTCTAATAAAAAAAATAAAATAAAAAATGACCATGACACTGCTGTTTCCAGTCGGAACTATTTTGATAACCCACCAGTGGTGCAGCACAGCTGTTTCCGCCTGCCGCGGTGTATACGGAAGTTCTGCGGTTAGTTTTTCACTTACAGGAGAGATGCGCTGATGAAACAGTTGCCTTTTAACATCCAACGATTCAAATGTCTTTTTATACATATAAAAAACATATTAAGAAAATATATGTTACAAACAATTATTTAAAGACAAACACACACTTGATTTAGATTTTTTACACGATTGTTATGTATGAAGTTTAACTTTAGTAAGCGCGAGGTTTAGGTCTGCCAAAGGGAAATGGTGCCTTTGAAGCGGAGGAAAATGGTTCACGCGGGTTCTTTGAACACTGAGACAAATGTCTGTGGAGGAACAGAGCCAACCAAGTTCCCTCAGCTGGTTTTATTCTTGTTGGAGAGGAAAATGGGAGCCAGTCGGAGAGCTTTTCTCTCTCAGCTCGGACGGAGGAAAGGATTTCAGGTGGACGACCTGTTCAGGTAAAAGACAAATATCTCTACTGCTCACACATCTTATGTTTGATTAATTTCAATGTTAACTGGAATATATCTGGTTCTCAGCTAGAAGACCCTGTCAGCATGTTTTGCATTGTCTGTGGAGTGAATTGTGTTCCATTATTGTTGCAAGAAAAAGAAAAAAAACATAAATTCACATTTGAAAAAAGATGCAATCCAGAATGAAACTTTGGTAATAGTCTGAATAAAAAAACTAAGTTTTATCTTTTCTTATATTTTAGCTCCTTTTTTACAAGATTTATTTATTTATATTTTGTTTCGAGAATAAAGTTGTAATATTATGAGAATAAATTCGTGAAATTACAAGAATAAAGTTGTAATATTTTGAGAATTACGAGGAAGAAAGTAGCTCTTGTCGAACTTTTAGGACGTTATTCTCTTAATAGTAAGACTTTATTCTCACAATTTTATGACTATTCTCGTTGCGCCTTTATTCTTGTAATTTTACAACTTTATTCTCGAATGTTAACACTTTATTCTCTGAATTTTACGACTTTATTGTTGTAATGTTGTGACTTTATTCTGGCAATTTTATGGCTATTCTCGTTGAGACTTTATTCTTGTAATATTACGACTTCATTTACGTAATCTTACGACTTTATTTTCGCAATGTTAAAACTTTATTCTCAGAATTTTAGGACTTTATTCTCGTAAAGGTACAAATTTATTCTCGAAATAGAAGAAAAAAAAAATCTCTAGCCTAGCCCTAATACTCCGTCATAATTTTTCCCCTATTTTATTTATAAAATATTATTTCTACATATTTTTATTTATCAATTTTTTTATAGCCTTTATTTCAGATTGCTTAACAAATATCATTCTTTTTTAAATTGCCCTTTACCAAATTGTAAAAATATCATGCAGCACTCTTTTTTTTTTTTTTTTCTTGCAAAAAAAACCAACAACTTAAAAACCAAACATCGCTTTACTTTCAGACCAAAATGAAGCAGGTTGTTGCTGAATTTAATTTGGTGGGACTGTATCATTTTTGTAAAATTTGAAAAGTGATTATTATCTCAATGTGACCGAAAACATGGTGATCGACTCTATGAGACGTCCAACTGGAAAATGAAAAGCTTTACATTTCTATAGAATATCTGGCAGAAGGACCTCAGGAGAGAGATGGAAAGTGACGGATGGAAAAACTTTGTGGCTGATTGTGGTAAAAGTGAGAGAGGCGAGGGTTAAACTGAAGCTATATAACATTACATAGATGGTAGTACTCAGAAGCTACATTGTAGGATGAAGGTCCTGGATGATGATTTGTGCAGAAAAGAATTTGGCAGTTTTCCACCATTTTTCTGTTTACTGAGGGATAAACCTCAGCTACCCAATATATCCAAAATAAATGGAGCCAATACGTGAAAGCTTGGGTTAGTGCCATGATGGTTAATTAACAATGAGGCAGATGTGCGACAGGTTTAAAGATTACATAAAGGTAAATAATGATTCCTTTTCCCACTAGACTACAGACTAAGTTTAAAGGAATAGTACACCCAAAACATGATTAGCCTTCATTTTCTACTCACCCCCATGCTGAACAACACTCTGGAGTACTTTTTTGATATCTCAAATGCATCTGGAGATCTGGGAGGCTTCTTGCTGTCTGCTGACATTCAAATAATGGAGGTCTATTGTACCTGAGGCAGAAAGGTCCATAAAAGTCTGTTGTGTATTAATCTGCACTAATCATAAGATAAAATAAAGTTAATGTTTTATAAGTTTAAAGTTGTTTTCACAAAATACTGTTATAAGAGCCATTCGAGGCCAGAGAGGAGAGAAGCAGAGTGAGTGTGTGTATCTGCTGCAGCTGGCGCCAATGGGAGTGAGATCTACAGGACAACGCAGGGTTAAGGCCCCTTAGTGATAAGAAAGCACCCGCAATAAAAATGAAATATTTGACATCTCAAGGTAGCCCAGCTCAGCAAAAATCTGGCCATACAAAGGAGTTGTTATTTTCAAAGCACACGGCGCAGTAATGGTCTCAGAAAGGGTGATTAGACGAGGGGGGAGCAGTATGGAAGACTGACATGGCTTGAAGCAAGGGCTGACATGTTTTTGACTAAACCGTCATAAGTTTCTGATTTGAATGCACCAGATGTTTTCATGGCCTGAGAGAGTGCTCTCACAAGTATGAGATGTGTCTATGAATGTCACCGTGTTTTGCAGATAAATATCAATGTGACCTTTACCAATGACTGAAATATGTTCTAAAGGGGGTTTTTCCACCGATAAGAAATGTATAAAAGGGAGCTGGTTTCACCATTTGTCAGCTTCGGCTCACTGCTGACCAGCTCATTGTAAATGTGTTGTGTTCAGCAATAAACTCACTGGACCTGGACTCAGCGGCCTCTGTCTAAATTTTTTGATCCTTGTTTGAGTCTTTTTCTGCTTTTTAAGAACTTTGAATTTTTATAAAACTTAGCTTCATTTTTAAGTCGTCAAGAAGAGAATTATAGACGACATAATTGGCGAGCCAGCCAGGAGGAAAGCAAAAAGGGGACGTCGGACGATCTGCAGGCACCAGCTGGAGAGCGTAGAACCCCAAGGGCCCATAATTCACCATTTAAAGGCGAGTCAATTCGTTATAATTTTCTAAATTAGTGGGGAACCAGCCTCCGACTACTGCTTGTGGGGGTCAGACGTCACAAAGCTCTCCTAAAAGAACCTAGTTTTCCAAATTTAATAAAGTAATTTCCAAATTTGATAAGAATTTATATAAGAGTATATAAAGGCAGATTAAGCTGAGGAAGGGTCCAGGTATGTATATATGTATATATGAATGCATGTTTTAAGTGTTATTAATGTTTGTGTTAAACTGTTCTGTGTTTGAATTATTTTGTAAATAAGTTAAGCTTAACACGGGTTGTTCTGAGCGGATGATTGGTAAGGGGACAGATTGATACATAGTCTGTGGAAGCCATAAATCCGGAACCAATAGTGTACGCGTGTTACGTGAGGGTATCAGTGACTAAGGTAGTCAGGGTGCTCCACGAGAAGGCTTAAGTAGTCTTAAGGTATTGGAATATGTGCCACTGTAGGGAACAGTGAGGAAAAGGTATTGTGCCACTGTAGGGAACAGTGAGGAAAAGAATATTGTGCCACTGTAGGGAACAGTGAGGAAAAGAATATTGTGCCACTGTAGGGAACAGTGAGGAAAAGGTATTGTGCCACTGTAGGGAATAGTGAGGAAAAGGTATTGTGCCACTGTAGGGAAACATTTAAAGAAAAGGTTTTGAGGGGCCCTAAGCGATACCCGGGCCCTAAGGATGGGCCAAAATTTTAAACCTTTTTAAGCATAATGGGAAAGAAAATTTCCCCTCAAAACATCCGGAGGCCCGGTCTATGCTTTTCCATTTATCGGGGTTGCGGCCCCGGGCAGCGGGGAAAAAACGTAGAAAAAAAAAAGGCACTGAAAATTTATAAAAAAATAACCCATTTTTGTTTTTGGTGTTCGGTTAGTGTGTAGAGGAAAAGTTGAGTAACCGAGGGGAAAAAGGGGGTGGGTGATATTAATAAATAAAGATTATAATATAGAAAAAAGGCTTAAAGATATAATAATAAATTAAAAAGGAAGTAAAAGTACAGAATATATTTAAAAGGAAATAACCTAAAAAATTAATAAGGTTTAAAAAAAACAAAATTGAAAAACCTGAAAGAAACACAAATTTTATGAAAGGGAAATTTAAATTAAAAAAAACCCTAAATAAGTTTTGGGAAAAGAAATTGTAAGGGTTTTTTAATAAGATAAAGTTTTAAAAAAAGGGTAAAATATTATTCCCAAACTATAGTCTAAAAAAGTAAAATATATAAAGAAATAAAAAATTAGTGAAAGTGCAAAATAACTTTACAAATTTTTTTTTTAAAAGATTTTATCTCAAAATTGAAAAAAACAAAAATTTAAAGGAAGAAAATTTTAACTAAAAAGAAACAAAAAGAAAAATAAACACAATCTGTATTGAAAAAGCAAAACCCATTAAGATAAAAAATTTAAACTAAAGGATTCCAAAGACGGGTAAAAATAACACGGACCTGAGGGTTTGAGTGACGGGTTTAGTAGCCAGGGGAAATAAATATGAGCAAACAACAGTCGGGAGGGGTGCCCGCCAGCCAAATTTTGGTAAAAAGACAAAAACCCTTTCCCAAAAAACCCGCAAAAATTAAAAAATCCCTGACCAAATGGGCAAAAGGGAGGGACACCAAAAAAAAAAAAAATCTTTTGGGCCTAAAAAAAAGGAAAGCTTTAACCCTTTCCCAAGCTTGTGTTTGAATTTGAAGAAAAAATGAAAAATAAAGAAAAAAAATTGGGAAAAAAGTTTCCTTTTATCCCTAAAAAACAGAGGCATCCCGAACAGAGAACATCCTGAAAATATTTAAAAATAGAACACCAAAAGGAAACCCCAACACCCCCTGTTTACTTTGTTTCATAAGCCACCCCCCTTAAACCCCACCCCCTTAAAATTGCGCAGCAGGTCATTTACCCGGGTTGTGAAAAGGGGTCAGGCAGGAAGGAAAGATTACAGGCCCAATTTAAATTAGTTTTAGAAAAAAAGGGGAAGAAAAAACCGAAAAAAATTTAGAAGCACACAGCAGGGGGGAGTATGATTACAGGCGGTGTTTAAATGACGGAGGGGTTTAAACCCCCCCAAAGAAAAGGGAGAAAATCTCCCTTTTAAGCCTTTTCCCTACCCCCAGAAAAGCCCGCAGACATTTCCCAAAACCCCCAAGACCCCCACCTGCCGCCCCAAGCCTAGGACCAAGTCAACAAAACAAAGGCCACACAGACCCGAAGTTTAGATATTTTGGAAAAACGAATCATTTGGCAAAAGATAAAAACCCAAACCCCGGGTTTGGAAAACTAACAAACATTTGTACACTAAAGGGAGCAAATTTTGGAAGAGAAAGCAAAAAATAGCGAAAAAAAAAATTTAAAAAGAAAAAGAGAAAAACAAAAAAAAGAAAAA